GTTTTACACACGGACACAAACCGCCAAGATGATGGAGTACTTCACATTCAAGAAGGTGAAGAAGCATCGCGAGGAAAAGGCAGAGAAGCAGCGACTAGAGAAAGAGGAGAAAAGTAAGGAGAAGGGGAAGGGAAAGGAGATCGAAGACACAGCGAAAGCTCCCAGCACCGACGCCACCAGTTCCGCAACCCCCAGCTCTACCAATGTCACCTTCGAGACTGCGCAGGGGACGCCTATCCTCGACCAAGAGGACGAGAAGTTCCTCGAGCGTCTCACTTCTCCGTCAGACAGCAACTTTAGTAACGATGATGATGAGACACCGCCACCCTTACCTCCGCGCGTCAAGACTCCCGTGATCGAGTTAGACAGCGACGCCTCTAGCTTTGCTAGTAAGGATGATAGTAGCAGTATCAAACAGGCTGCTACTACCAAGAAAGACAACAAGGGTAAAGACAAGGACAAGTCCAAAGACGGCGACGAAACCCACAAATCCAAGCGGTTCTCCTTCGTAACGAACCTCTCACGGAACATCTCCCTCAAGCGCAAGCCAGGGAAGCACCCGCACCAAGAGCACGACCAACACTTAACCGTCCCTACATCTGACCCGGACCCCCAGCGCTCAGCGCTCAATGAAGAAACCGACATAGCACGGGTGCTCGAGGACCTCAACCTTGCTGCCTCAACCGACAACAAGGCCTTCTCTTTATCCCGCGAGTCCGCCGAGACCCTGCGCAAGTTCACCCAAGTCCTTAAAGACCTGGTTAACGGCGTGCCGACGGCGTACTCGGACCTCGTTAATCTGATCGAGGACCGTGACAACGTTCTAGCCCGCTCGTACGAAAAGATGCCGCGAAGCCTGAAGAAGCTCGTCGCACAACTCCCCGAGAAACTTACCTCCAGTTTGGCACCCGAGCTGCTGGCGGTTGCTGCTGAAGCGCAGGGATTAGCGGCGGTCGAGGAGGAGGGTGGGAAGAAGTTGCTTAGCGTGGGGAACTTGATGGACCTTGTCACGAAGCCCGGCGCGGTCGTGGGGCTGCTAAAGGGGATTGTCAATGCGCTGAAGGTCCGCTGGCCTGCGTTCGTCGGCACGAATGTGCTGTGGAGTGTGGCGGTCTTTCTACTGTTGAGTATGTTGTGGTACTGCTATAAGCGTGGCCGAGAGACACGCTTGGAACGGGAGGCTTCGGAGGCGACCGGAACTGCAGTCGTGGAAGAGGTGGAAGAGGGAGAAGGGGAGGGAAAGAAAGAACTGATGGGTGTCGATGGGGATACGCCACGTATTGAGGAGGTATTGGATGGGCCTGGACCACAGCAGTTGACTGTCCCTGCTCCCCCAGTTGCAGTGGCCGCACCAGCATCGTCGTCAGAAGGCAAGAAGGAATAAATAATACGCAGTGACTGATCAATGTCACCCAATCTCTGAGAAGGGCGGCGAAAAGGGCAAAAGGGAGAGAAAGAAAGGGGGAGAAGAGGAAGTAAAAAGAACAAGGGTACACAACTTACCCTATTCACCACACCACACCGTTTACGAGGTTATGAAGATTACGTACGGCAAACAAGCGAATAGCAACGTAATATAGGATGATACCCGGTCGTTTTACACGCAAAGCGAGGAATTATAGATTTTCTTTTTGGTACCTACGACACATGTATTGCTTCTTAAGTTGGGGGGGATTCGAGGGGAATAGATATAGTGAGATAGCCGTTAATATCTGAGTAATAGTGGCAGTAATGGCAGCAATAGTAATAAAAATCTTAGATGGATAACTTAGTATATGTGAGAGATATACTATACGTATGGCTTGGTTAAGATCGATGGGGGAAGGTATCCCCTTCTATCCCTTCAGTGTAGGCGTGATAGTTCCAAGTCGAGACGAATAAGGATCTAAGTGAAGGACTCAGGAAAAACGAACGATATCATCCCCCGGTATCCAGTAGCACCCGTCGTCAATGTAATTCTACCTATCAACATGGGCGAATGGGTAGGTAGGTAGATAGATATCTGCCTATAGTTAATTCGCAACTAGGTAGGTATCACCGTAAAGACAAGAGTACATCGCGTCGTGTTAACCCCCGTCTCATATAGGGGGTATGTGTGCTTAAGTGCTAGCTAGCTGGCTGCTAAGCTACTACATACAATTCAGTACCTAGGTATTCAGCCCCTACTTGGGCCAAATACAACCGGATCAGCTCATTCATAGTAGACGGATCGTCGTCCAAGCCATCATCTCCCTCCTCCTCCCATTTGGTCCTTGTCTCCTCGCACTATCCACTACCCCCTCTTGCAGACCCAACGTCGCCAAAGTCTCTCGGTCCAAAGACCTGGCTACCTAAGCACCCGTCCCCCTCTTCCCACGCCCACGTCCCCGTCCACGTCCCCGCCCCCGTCCACGACCACGCGCAGGCGAAGCCACCGAGCCGCGGGAACGTGTATTAGGACGCGACTTAGCAATCCCCCCACCACCACCACCACCAAGAGGAATATCAAAGCGAACCTTCGTGCCGTTGCGGCGAGCGTCAACGTCGCGTATCGATGACAAGTCCTAATCGTCCTGCACGAGCTCCTTGATCTCCTCGCGGGCGGGGGCGATGCCGGCGGTAGTGTCGGCCTTGGCGTCGCGGCCGCCGGTGCGGTCGATGACGCGCGCGCCGTCCTGCATCCAGAAGTCCACCTCGTCCACCACGTCCGCGACTACGTCCTCGACCACCTGCTCGTCGTACCGCTCCGCCACCGGCCGGACCTTATCCAGCTTCGACTTGGGAGCGGTAGTGGTGGTGGTGGCGACCCTGACTGTGTCCGTGTCCACGTCCACCATCTCGACGTCGCCGTCCGCGTCTAGGAGGCCCGGGGGCGGGTACCAGAACTGCGGCCCGAAGTTGACCTCGGCTGCTCCGCCCCGGAACACGCTGATCGCGGGGTAATACCCGGCCATGCCGTCGTCCATGCCCTCGCGCGCGCCGACCTGCGCCTGCGGCTTCGAGGCAGGAGGAAGGAAGGCTAGGAGGTCTGTGAACGGGGTGCCCATCAGTACGCCGTTCTTGTAGACTTTGATGCATGAGTTGGGTAGCGTGCGAAGAGCCGGGACTTGGTGGTTTGGGTTCGGCTTGTCGCCTGGCCTACTACCTATCGTTCCCGAAGGACCGGCAGGTGATGGGTTCATCAGATCCTCCAGCTCCTTGGTCGTATGGTAGTCGATCTTCTCGAGGTAGATGTGTTGCTTGAAGCGGATGGGTATTCGATCTCGAACAATATTGGCAGCTTCCGCAGTCGGCTCCTCCTCGTCTGTCAGATCCACGGCGGGGTTATATTGGCCTTGAACGACCTTTCTATGTAGGTGTTCTGAAGGCAGCTGAATCTCGAGTCCGATTACATCACCCTCCTTGATCTCTTCACCCGGGGGGAAGAAGTCCTTTGGTCGGGACATATGAACCTTCTGGCCCTGGACATCTCGGATACCGTAACTGTAGGCGTCGAAACCGACCGGCGCATCTAAAGAAGCCTCTCGTCTCGCAAATCCCATGCGCACGTGGCCATGCGACTCGACACTTCCGTCTGCGCTGCTCTTGATAGTGCCTCTTGTGATTTTGCATTCCCAGTACCATCGGCCTTGGCGCACGGCGACGTTCGCTCTTGCGGTCCTAAATCCCTTGTCCGTGGTGATATGTCGTCCTGATTGGTCCATATACATATGCGTCGCGGCATCTTCGAAGCTGATATGGGCGCCGTAGGGTTCGGGTTCGGTCTGGCGATAGTAGAAGGAGGAAGGAAAGGCTGGGTCGGCGATGCAGTGTAAATAGTGAAAGCTCTTCTTATTGTAGACACTATACGCGGGTCAGCAAGGGTGGGGATAGCTAGATAGGGAATGCGGCTCACTGTTCGGAAGTCTCGTAGAACTGGATGGTAGACCCGTCCAGAGCAGGAACTTCGTGGTGAGGGGTGAAGATAGGACCTCTAGCAGTCTCAAAGTCGGATGGCTTCGGTGGCGCTAGCTTATAACGCAGAGGCGAAGACTCGTTGGGTGGAAGCTCCTTGACCTTAGGATCGGGGGTCGCTCTGGAGCTGTCTGCACCCACACCAGCTTTGGACTCTCTCTTCTTGAGAGTATCCTTTTTATTTCTGGCAGGTTTTTCGCGCGCCATGACTGCCGAATCGTCGTGCGACTGTGTCTTACTAGGTTTTACATCAGGGTTAGGGTTGAGAGGGGAGGAAACGGGAGGCGCGTGGTCGTCCTCGAGAGGTCGTTTCTGAGGAACGGATATTGGGAGGACTGGAGCGGAGACGGGGACGGAGACGGGCGTCATTTGGCGCTTTGGTAAATCAACATCGGTAGCCATGGTGATTTAAGTTTAAATTTATTTTAATTGACTTAGGTACCTAGTCAGTTATTCTAGGGTTATATAAGTGGTTTTGCGGCGTGATATAGTGGAGTTGGACAATATTCTCAGGGAAGAATTAAAAAGTTGAAGAATGAAATGATTGGAGTTTGTTCAAGTTGGGGAACCTTGTCAAGTTGCGGCTCTTTCCTTACACTTACTTTACTTGCAGCGCCTAACCAGCCTTTAGATTCAATTGGCAATTACCCACTCTCTGGTCGTGACTGTATTATTGCCAACTGAGTGCAGAAGTATTCAGCTCGTTACGTCATGATTGAACTATCCAAATAGACGGAATAGCGAAGCGGCATTACAATCTTGCACTAAAGAATAGTTGCTAATGAGGCTGTCTTTTACACAGTTGCATAGATTATTTAGTAATTCTCAATTACGAATAACTAGATGTTATTTACTCGTATTAATACTATTACTTCATTCTCTGCTCAATAAGATAATTACTGCCTCTCACAGTAGCACGAGAAAATGGAGTAACATGAGCAAATCCCACCAAGGTGCACTTCGTAAGAGATGACAGCTCGTAGTAATACCAGTTTATTCAAGCAAGTGAAAAGTTGAGAATATCAATTCTAGCGATTGGAAAATCAAAAGAAAAGCAAAAAGTGCTGCGACCACCACGGGACTCGAACCCGCAACCTCAGTCTTTCACTCCGCATAACAGTACGTTATAGGAGGACCGCGCGCTACCATTGCGCCAAGCAGTCTGCGGCCAAACAGTGCCAGATCGCTTTGACGGCGGTGTCTTTTGGCCGTCTTATCTGCCCTTATATCCCCTAGAGGGCGGCGTGATAGGCGCGCAGTTCAATGTGGGGCATCCGTTTCGGTCCGTTGGCCGTCTTTGTTTGTGAGACACCCGGACCTTCGGAAAATACAAAAGATTATTCCTTGTTGCAATTGACGGGTAATTTTCTCCTAGTAGTGTCCATGCCTAGCAAGTATAAAGTCATAGGAGTTGAGGTTCTTGTAAAGTGCGGAGTGCATAGAGCCATGACCTCTACGCTATGGGGAATGTCTGATATAATCGCTTCACCAGATACGGGATTCACGTAGTAATTGTTATCCATCTTCCCTCCCATACTCTAACCCAGTCGAATATATCTCTACCTACCTGCCGGTAGGTATGTAATTCCTCGACAACCACTTTTCTGCCGGGCACCGCGTAGGATCATACTCAAGCCTGGGATGATATTGCTCAAGAAGTATCCATGTGTTCGATGGATGATGCTGTAGACCGAAGAGAACTCTCGCGTTAGGTTCGAAGGACTACCGAATATGGTGCGGTATATTTGCTACTCAACTCTCCTTAGACCTAAGCCCGTCAAAATGTATCAGACACATGGCGACAGCATAGTCTCCATCGTGACTAATGCTCAGCTGTGCATATGAATCCTCGTAGTTTCCATCGCCCTTGATGATGGCTATGGGAGGACTAGACTGGTCGTGGTCCTCTTCTGATGAGGAGCTTGCCGAAGACTCCTGTTCCTCCCGAGACAAATCGGAAAGTAAATAGCGTTCATACGTAACCTCGATATCTCGAAAGGTGATCCTGCGGATTTTATAAGCCTTCATCACCGCTTCTTTTGCTGCGAACCTGATGTCAAATATAAGCTGTCTGTTCGTTGGCTACATATAGATTTCGAGGGCGAATGTACTAACCTGCCAGCCATAAACTCGGCTGCTTTCATGACATTAGAATCTCTTGGGCCTATGGTATGGGCATGATCTCCGAGGATGCGTTTGAATAACCGTGAGGCTCTCGGGCGCATCACCTCTTGAGGCGTGAGGATTCGATAAACAAACTTCTTGCCCGCGCTAGAGCTCAGAGCCTTGTAAATCCTAGAAATTTGACAAATATCAGTGCCAATACCGATTGGGGATATTCCACGACCCAACATCACGAAGGTCAGTATTGGATGTGATGCAGGCGGATGAGGCGAGTATGAATTTATGGTTGTAATTGTAGGTACGAGAGATAGTGCTATGTCTCTCTATCGCTTAGGGGGATAAGGCGCGTGTTTGGCGCGTCACCGCCCTTAAACCTTATCGTTATCGCTATTTATCTCACTAGTTAGTTAGTTAGTTATAGTTATTACTTTTTAATAATCTTTGATGTACTTCCATTTTTATTCTCCTTTTATTTTTTGGCAATCTTCATTATAAAATCCTACTATTCATTATTAGATGGCAGAACCGACACAGCATACATTAATGGCTTCATGACCCTTCCTGATATGCAGTTGAGGTCAGATCTTAACATCATGCTTCCCATACCAACGCCATCGCATCAACCGTGCTTTGAAAAGGGGCAACTGAAATGACAGTGTACGAACACCTCCCAATATTAGAATAAGTAGAGATGTAAGATATTTTACACCTCCTAACTATGGCTACCATCCACCAGCAATCATTTCTCCGGCGTTTCCAGATGGTAAGCCCCTTAATTGTTCTCACCGAGGAGTGGAGCTCTCTCGGTGTCGCCTTCTCGTGCTCTCGCAAATTTGACGTCCTTGCCGGTTGCAGCAGGTATGGCAACTACGATAGTCGCCACGAATAGGATCGCCATGATGATGAAGGCGAATATCCACTGGAACGCGATAACCTGTCGGAGGAATTGGGATACCCCAATCGCTGCTGAAAGAACGCTGAGGTTGAAGCCCATAGTGTAATCCTAACAAGGGGTAAGTATAATGTGCAAGTTTACAGGTGTGGCGACAACACAAACCTTGTAGATAATGATATAAAACAGACCATACACCAGGATCGACCAGATGAAGATGTTACCGAAGATGCGAGCGACAAGCGACTCGGGATGGGGTACCATGATGGCTCCGTTCCAGTAAATTGCAACAAAGGTCCACGCCAGGGGTCCGGAGACGACAGGCTGGTGGATGAACCGAGCGTATCCAGGGTGGCGGAAGTAGAGCGAGGTCAGGTTGATAAAGTTGAGAATGATGAACAGCTCAGCCCAGCCGAAGTATGAGCGGACGAAGAGCATGACGAAGGCAAAGTGAAGCAAGTTGTTAAGAATAAAATGGCTTCCCACAGAGCATGCTTCGTTCACTCGTTCAACGGTGCCGGAGAAGAGATGGGCGATATATCCTGCCTGGAGGATGAAGAGGACGATCCTGGTTATGTCAGACAGGGCACACCACCATACGGAGAGCGCATTCATGCGAGTCTTACCAATATATACTGGCGATGATGAGGTTCATCCGGAAGGCCGTGTAGAACGCATCGTTCTGTCTCCATATCTTTCGTCGAGCCCAGACACCATCGTGGGGGCTGTTGAAGGTATAGTAGATTGAGACGACGAGCGACAAGAGCCAGGTGACAATCGTCAATATCTTGTCTGCTATATATTAATGTTCTGTTCATAGGTCCTGACTTTATCCAAGGATTGGGTTGGTGATCCACAGGGCGAGGGTATACAGAACTAAAGGAAGGATTGCGACATACTGCCAAGTGTTAGCTCCTCTCAACAATAGCGGCGTACCGTAGGAGGTTATATAGACTAGGACAGGTCTCAATTACATACCAAGTGATCACCGTGTTCTTGCTATGAGTATCGCGCTTGGCGAATGGGTTTACTTATTGGATAATTAATCTTCATTCATCAATAGGCAAGTTAAGAGTACACGCATACTGTGGTGAATTCGCTCCATGATGGCTGTTGCTTACTGGTGTAAGTGGTGGCCGGGAATAGCAGATTGTGGCTTATATGATTGAACCGCTTGTCAAAACCAATCCCCGATGTGTACCACAATGGATCAAATGGGATACAAGAGAGAAAAGACTAGAGATATTGAAAGGGGGCCCAAACGTTTATAAAGCATTGGCGTTGAGAACCGGTCTGGCAGTCATTCCATACAACGACCTTGAAGGCCTGGACCTGGGCTTGGATGACGATGGTGGGGTGCCGCCGCATGCATGAATGTACATGAATGTGCGGGGGAAGCTAACTGGTGTGGATAGTGGTGACGTTGGTGTGTATAAGTCCTATTCCATCTATTCTTACATCCCCTTTCTTACCCTAGTCTCACCGAGTCTTTGCTGTATCACTAAAGCAAGATTTCTCTCCACACCTGCAGCTCTAAGCATGAAACACGGAAGAAAACGACCAATGAAATTCAGACCCTCGCGTCTTTCTATGGCCTGTTGTACTGTTGACGAATCACTCTTCCTGAAACTCAGAATGGGTTGTATTATTATGAATTATTACCTACCCTGCGTAAGGCAAGTAAAGAGAGCGAGGGGTAAGTCTCTGTTCGAAAGGGGATATATATTAGGTAAGAGCATATGCGTCTAAAACTGGCTGTAAGAAGTCTATGACGATGCATTGTTGTACGTACGAATTACGAACCCCAGACGTAATGCCGCCTTTGACCGCGCCAGACGATCGAGATTAGTTTCCGTCACGAGACAACTAAATCCATGATTGGCAAATGGCAAGGACAAGGTCTCTTGTCTGTCAGTCTTAGTGCTGTATGACTTAAGGCTTCTTATAGGTAGTCTTTGATAAACGTATATATTTCTCTGCGTGTATTATTCTAGAACGATGCAGATACGTAGGAAAGAAATTCTTCGATTTCCCCCGGTCTCAAATTATTGTAAGCAACTGAGACGAAGTGGAAAAGAAGAGGCCTCGGCAAAGGGAGCGTTTGGCCCGGCTCGTGTAAGCCGCGTATACAGTAAGGTGTCGATCCTGCCTGTGCAAATCCAGTAGGCAGCTCTTGACATAGATTGGCTTGGTTTGGGCATTTAATTTCCTATTTGTCGAGAGCTTAGAATCTGTGGGGCGCAGCGAGGCGAAACGACGTCGTGTTGCCTTCCAAGGTCGTGTACTTCCAAAGGAAATATTTCTCTTTTCCAATTCATCGTTCACAACCTGTCGTGTCACGGATGTCGTATCACGGGTTTCTCTTTTCCATGTTCTGCCAATGTCCAATTCGTCCCTCCGAGGCTACGCTATGTCGAAGAAAAAACAATTGGTAATTGTCGCCCCCTGATCACAACTCGTACAAAGCAGAGCCTTGTGCGTATTATATGGTACTGAGATATCAATTCATGCTTGGATAGGCCAGATAAATTTGAGGATACTTGAATATGAGAGTGTTCTTAAGGGTATAGCAAGTACATGGTGTCCTCTATGAAATCAACCGACTCAGAACGCCTGTTGTCACATAGGTACGAAATCCAATGCCATTCTGATGTTCATCCATCTGAGTATTACTCTTAAAACTTCCTTCTATCGGTCTTGCGAACCCTTAACTGATTCCTGAAATCAGTGTCAATTTTTGCCGAGCCGAGGGTGGAAATCCGAGTCGCTTACGCGTGCGGTATGACCTATGCGGCCGAGAAAATGAGGGAGCCCGAAAGTGCAGCTTTCTGATCGTCCGCGAACGAGAAATGCGCATATGAGCCACCTTGTCGCCTTGGGCCGCCATTTTCCAATTCCATCATATGATTTTGGAACTGCGGATGACAAAACCTGGCTTCTTGCATTGCGAGCTTGCTATCCTTGGCAAGTCTTTTTGGCGACTTCTCCCTGTGGCTTCGAGATGTTTGGGTCTGCCTTGGCTCTTTTTTGGCCTTTGGGTTTGGGCTTCCATCAGTTGCGCGAGGAAGAGTCGGCAATTTGCAGTCGTTTCGCTTGTCGGTTCGATGTTGTCCAGCCCCGTCTCGGAACGTCGCGGTGGTGATGTGC